TGATGGGACAGTCTGTAGCACCACCCATCCACTCTGCAGAGCCTGCTCCCTGCGGGCAGCAAGGGTTTCTCCTATCCTTGGGGGGCGACATCCTGGCTGGAACCAGGGACACCTCAGTTCCAACCCCAATGTGACACTCTGTTCTGCTAGCACCAGCCCTCCAGGTCTCCGGCCCTCACATTCCCCACCTGTGGAAGGAAAGGTGGGGCCAGATCATGTCTCAGAACTGGATCATGTCTCGGAGCCCTTCCTGCAGGTCCAGCCCCAGGGTCCACCCCACCCCCACCCGAGCAGTCCCAAGTCAGCCCTATCAACGTCGGGTAGCAGCAGAACGCTGCTTGGAGATAACGGGAGGCTGTTGAGAAAACAGATGGCCGCAGCGTCCTGGCTCCCCCACTTGTGCCCGGAGCAGGAGCAGGACTGCGCATCTCTGTGTCGCCCTGGGTGGAACTGCCTACGTCCCTTTCTTTGGCCGTATAAGGAAGAGGGAGGACAGAGCCTCGTGAACACAGGTTACCAACTCCAGGGCTGAGGAGAAAGTTCCAGGCTCCGTGACTAAGAAGCGCGAGGAGTAAATCAAATGCCACTCACCACCTCCTCTGTGTCATACACTCCAGATCCCTGCGCCGGGGCACCCGAGAGGAGGCAGCTCGCCGGGCCCAGGCTTTCTGGAGCATTCTGTGAGCGTGCAAGTGACCTCCCCCTGAGCCTGGGCCAGCAGAGCCAGCAGAGCCCCCTCCCCAGAGTCCCACCTCCCACACCCTGCTGTGCCCAACTCCAGGTTCCAGCTCTGCAAAAGCACACTGCCCACAGGTCTGCCCCTCCTGTGGGACCCCAAGCTCTGTGCGGGTCTCCTGGGCCTCAAGGCTGTGCTGTCCTTCCCCCCAGCCCTCTCCCGCCCACCCAGCTGCCTCTCCCCAAAGCACAGCTCTGAGTGGTGCGGACAACAGCTCAGAGTCCACTTTCCCTAAACCTGCCACTCCAAGCCCTTCAGACTCCCAACTCCCACTGGGGTTCTGCCCTCCCAGGGTGCCCAGGGCAGCCTCTAGCTTCCAGATGGGCTCGCTGGCTTTCCTGGACATTGGCTTTGTTTCCTCACAGGGGATGTCCTGGCCTCCACCTCACCTTCTGAGGTACCTTTCACCCTGGGGGGTTCATCTCAAACTCCACCTCCTCTAGGAAGTCCCATGGCCCACTGTTAGTGGCTTGCTTAGGCACCTGCTGACCTCCCTACCAACGTGGACTCTGGAGGGCAAAGCCCAGCCCATCCCTGGTGTGCAGCTAGCACTCACTGGAGGTTGACATGGACCCCCCAAGAAACGCCACCCCCACCCCCACCCTCAGGTGAGCAGGGCCTGGAGCGAAGAAGCGGGGTTGGGAAAAGCCAAACTCAGCTCACATGGACATACATTTGGTTCAAGGATCTGCCACTTACTGTGTGACCTGCACCAGGTCACCTAGCCTGCCTGGAGCTCAGCCTTCGCACCTCTAAGCCAGGGGTCTTAATATCCATGTACACGGTGCTGGTGAGCATCGCAGGAGCTAATGGACAGACAAACCAACTCCCTGCCACTGAGTCGGCGCCGACTCACAGCGACCTTCCCTGTGAGTTCCTGAGACTAACAGTTTAAAGCCTTTCTCCCGAGGAGCTGCTGGCAGTTTTGAGCTACCAACCTGCCGATTGCAGCCCAACAGGTAAACTGCAGTAACATCGCTGTGTGAACTCCCTGGGCCACCTGCCAAGGAGCTCTAAAAGTCAGCAGCGCTGGCAGCCGTCATCTCCGAAGGCATGGATCTCAACAGCCCCCGTTTACAGTGAGGACACTAAGGCGGCAGGAGTGAACGTTCTGGCACCAGGATGTTCTATAGGGACGAGGGCTGTGGTCAGCTCCATCTCCGGGGACAGCAGCCAGAGGGAAGGGAGGGGGCTCGGTACACCCTGGTGGCCTGAGACTTAGCGTTCTGCCCAGGAGTCAGGTTTCAGCAGACACTGGGTAGGCCCTGACTTGCTTGCTGGAGGAGCTTGGAGCCCTATGAGCGTCGGATCCCAAGGCTGGTCCCGGGGCTGTGGCCAGATCTGCTGCCCGCCTCTGTTCAGCTGCTCTGCCCTCCCGCCTTCAACCGCGCAGGACCAGGGATGCCCATGGAGGTGGTGGGCCAGGGAGGGCAGGGAGGGAGGGCAGCGGCGAGGCCACTGGCCTGGGAGGGATGTTGAGGACTCCATGCAGCCACTGTGCATGCAGGGCCAATGCTGGCTGTGGGCCTTCTGGGCATACATTAGAAAATACACCAACGACACCCTGCTCTCGCTGGGTGGACAGAGCCCCACAGCAAGACACACAGCTTGGGAGTGGAGTGGGGTAGGATTGGTCCCCTACCCCCACCCCCTCAGTATGGTGCAGCCCTGCCAGCAGCCCTGCTCACCAAGCACCCCTGCAAGGCCAGGTCTTGAGATGGACACTGGGGTCGGGGGTGGCTCAGACACAGCAGCACCATCTCCCCTCAAAGCTCACAGAGCAGGGTGGGTGTGGGTGTGGGTGGGGAGGTGGTGCCTTCCCCCTCCTTGGGAGGAAGCTTGGAGAAGCTACAGCGAGCTAATGGAGAGGCAGCTTGATGCTGATACACTGGTGGGGGTGGAGGGTGGAGGGGAGTCCTAATTTGAAGCTTTTGCCCATTTCCATGGTGTAAATACTCCCCCTGTGAACCCAGCAGGGAGGGGAACGTTTCTCCAGCAGAGGTGGAGGTAGGGGCAGGGCGAGGGAGGATTTCCCAGGAGGTGAAAAAGCAAAAGCAGATGCATAGAAGCATGAAGACAGAGGGTGAGGGCAGGGATGAGTCTTGAATGCCTTGTGATTGCGAAGGCACATTCCAAGTACCGGGAGGCCAGTCTCTCTCGCCATTCCGGACCCAAACAGGGGTCACGTGGCAGCAGGGATGCTGCAGGCTGGACACTCACAGGCTGGTCCTGTTTCATAGTCGCAAGAGCCACAACAAGCACGAATAATCTCGTTCAGGGAAAACAACGGTTCCGATTCTATTTCCTTCCGATCTTTCTTCTAGGCAGCTATTTGTACCCAACCAGCAAACACCTTGTGCAGGAAACAAACACTTTGTTTTTTGCAACGAGTTTTGTCTCCATGAAAAAGAATAACGCATTGGGCTGCAGGGAAAGGAGCCTGGATTCTGGCCCAAGGAAGCCTGGATTCCAGGCCTGCTTCCTGAAGTGATAACGTAGTGATCCTGAGAAAGTTCCCTGACTTCACTGGGCCGTTCCTTCCTTTGCCAACTGGACCTGTGAATCTCTACACACCTGCCAGGGCTGCTGTGCAGGTCAGATATGCTACATGGAGCGGGTTCACAGCAGGCACGCGACACATGTAACCACCTACGATATGTTACTAGCATCATATAAAGGTGTAAATATAGGCATGCATATATGTAAATATATTTATATATAATGATAGGGATATAGATCTATGTACATATACTTATAGGCTAAGTATTAAGGTAGCAGAGGGGCTTCAGGCCTCTACTCAGGGCCTCCCTAAACACAAGAACACTCTGTTCTAATAACCTGGCATTCTGTGATGCTCACCTTCCTGACACGATCACTGAAGACAAAATGCATGCATAAGCAAATGTGGTGAAGAAAGCTGATGGTGCCCAGCTATCAAAAGATGCAGTGTCTGGGGTCTTAAAGGCTTAAAGTTAAACAAGTAGCCATCTAGCAGGGAAGCAACAAAGCCCACACGGAAGAAGCACACCAGCCTGTGTGATCACGAGGTGTTGACGGGATCAGGTATCAGACACCAGAAGACCCAAAAGAAACAATCATATCAATGCAAACGAGCAGGGCTAGAGTGGAGATCCAAACCTGTAGACAATGGGACAGCCCCTCACAGAAGTGTCAGGGAGGAGTCAGCTAGGGTACAGTATAGCATGCGAAACATACAACATTCCTCTAGTTCTTTAATGCTCCCCCCTTATCCCCATTATGACCCCAGTTTCACCTTACACATCTGGCTAGACCAGAGCATGTACTCTGGTACAGATAAGAACTCTCTACATATGGAACCCAGGACAGATAAACCCCTCAGGAACAGTAATGCGAGTAGCCATACCATGAAGGTAGGGGAAGGCGGGGAGGAGGGGGAGAAAGGGGGGACCAATTGCAATGATCGACGAATAACACCCCTCCCCAGGGGGATGAACAACAGAATACTGGGTGAAGGGAGACAGCAGATGGTGTATGAAAATGATAATAATTTATAATGTATCAAGGGTTCACGAGGGTGGAGGGCAAAAAGTGGAGGTGATATCAAGGGTTCAAGTAGAAAGAAAATGTTTTGAAAATGATGATGACAACATATGTACAAATGTGCTTGATACGACTGATGTATGGATTGTTCTAGGAACTGTAAGAGTCCCCATTAAAATGATTTATTAAAAGAGAAAGAGTCAGAAGGAAAGAGCTGCCTGACAATACATGACTAAAGCACACACATGACAGAGAATGGGTAATTCCCCAGGACACCTGGATAGAGGGGGCTTGATGAACGGAGGGTGCAGGTACGCCTGAAGAAATGGGGCTATTCAGCTCGGTCAAAAAGACGTCAGTGGTTTCTGAGATCTGTCTCGAGGTATAGCCTATGGGCTGCATGGGCAGAACCAAGCCCAGCCAACAAGAATTTGAGAGTTGTTTCCAGCTAATCAACACAAGGAGGGACATGCTCATCGCGAGCACAGTCCCAGGACAGAGGGGTCCTCTGGCAAGGAGTCAGCCCTCCCACGCTGAGTGGGAGCAAGCAGAAGGTGGGGAAGATGAAGCAAGGAGGTAAGCCCGGTGGAGAGGGGGGGACTGGGCAGTCCTTGAGGTTCCTGAAAGCTGGGCTCGTGGGGGTGTCTGGTCAGCAGTGTCTGCTCACCCCACAGCACGCAGCCAAGCGCAGAATGGGGAGCTGCAGATATAAAGCCCACCAGACTCCCCAGCCCTGTCTTACCTGGTTATCAATTTTGAGCTCCACAAGGGAAGTGTTGTGTGGCAGGGCTTCTACCAGTCTCAGGACCCCCGCTCCAGAAATGAAGTTGGACTCCACATTCAGGGTCTTCAAGGTCTTGTTCACCTTGAGCATCTCAGCAAGAGCCTGGAACCCCGGGAAGAAATGGACATGTCCGAGAGGCACAGAAGCCAGGCTGCAGCCCCTCCCGGACCACTCCTAAACACAGAGGGGGCCTTGCTGGGAGGGAGCGGCAGCACCCACTCACCATGGCCACCAGCCAAGCCCAGCTGCATGTTTCTCCTCTCTCCAACTTGCAGGGTTCTCGGACCCTCACTGGGGAGGACCACCCTCAGCCAGCATTTGAAGGCTTCTTTCTGTGCCCGGTTCGCCTCCCCTGCTCCCCGACAGAGGGCCGGTGTTCCGCTCCCAGTGTCTGCAGTGGCTGCTGCCGCTGAGCCGTCCTGTCCTTTCTGCCTCACTTGTCCAAACCCTGCTCAGCCTTCAAGGCTCTTTGCAAATGCCCCCCTCTCCATGAGCCTTTGCGGACGTCCCTCCGAACCCCCATTGGACTTATCCACCACCTCCCTCCGGGATCCACACCATTCTGCTACCGTGGGCTTTACACTGCTGTGGTCCCTGGTCTTACCCTGTATCCTCTCGGGGGGCCTGGCAGTGGAGCTCACCCAGCCCATGGGTGCCGTGAATACTCCCCGAGTGACTTGCTGAGTCCCAAGCACTGCCCCCCACCCCCACATACTCTCAATTACTCTCTTGAGGAATCAACATTTCCTTCATCGCAGAGCAGAAGAGGGAAGAATCAGATCTGGGAACACCCCCCTCCCCCACCTAATTTTTGCCTAGTGGGCAAGTGACCAGGGCCAAGTGGAGGAGAGGGCTCAGGTGTCCTCAGCGCCTTTCGGGGGACTGCAGCCAGTGGGTGTCAATGGCAATCAGTCCATGTGGAGGGTCCGAGGTAATTAGTAGCTGGTGGAGAGAGACTCCAGGGTCACAGGCCCAGGGTGTGCACTTGAGGGCCTGGTTCCCCCAACTCGCTCCCCACCAGGGAGGAAGGTGTCCTCTCACTTGGGACCTGCTGGCTAGACCCTGCTCATGGCCCAGATCCAGGCCCCCTCCCCAGGGGGTCTTCTGGGTTGAAGTCACCGCTCCCTCCTCAAAGCCCCAAATCCCAACCCACTGCCATCGAGTCCGTTCCAAGTCCTGAGCTCCTGCGCAAGCTCACCTGGGCGCATGCCAGTTCTCTCTACTGGGCCACCTGTCCCCCTGAGCAAAGGGACCCAGGCCCCATGGTGCCTGGCATGCCTTTCCCTCCCCCAACCAGGACTCAAGATAAGCTGGCTGGCAATTCAAGGAGGCAAGCATGCAAGGAGCCCTGGTGGCACGGTGGGTAAGTGCTCAATTGCTTACTGGCAGGTCAGTGGTTTGGACCCACCAGCTGCTCCTCGGGAGGAAGATGAGGCAGTCTGCTTCCTTAAGGATCTACAGCCTTGGAAACCCCGGGATGAAAGCCTACTCTGCCTCTAGGCTCACTCAGTTGGAATCCTCCTGGCACTGGCATGGTTTGGTTTGGTTTGGTTTGGTTTGGTTGAAGCAAGGGCACTAAGCTCATTGGAGGGACAAGTTAGTGGCTGAGCAGGTCCTAGAAGCCCTACCATGCAGGTGTTAACTCGTTGGTTGCTGGTTCATGGTGGAGGAACTGGGGCCCAGGAGAGGCATGTGGGGGTGGGGTGGGGACCAGCACAGAGTTTTGGCAGCACTATTTGCCCTTTGGCCTAGAAGCAGCCAGTACTGGAAAATGGGCATTCATGTGTGAATGGGCGGATGTCAGCTGTTGGCCTGGCACGGAGGCTGTGCCCCAAAGCTTTCATGGTGTGGAGCTGAGTGCCAGCATGGGCATGCTTGGATTCTGGTCAGTGGTGCCGAGGCGGACAGGGCCTGGGACTGCCCCTTCCCATCCTGCCTGCAGGGCAAACTCAGCACCCACTGGAGGTCAGGGGTCATCTGTCCAGTACTGTCCCACTGGGGCCGCCCAGGCAGCATAGGGAGGGAAACTGTGAGCTAGTTGTAGTATTTTTTAAAAATTGGAAGAAAACCATCCTATTTATTTTAAAAATCAGAAAAGATTTGATTGCTACTATATGCTTTCTTTCCTGGCCGGATAGCTAGTTCTTGCCCCCTTTATCTGCTCGTGGTGGGTAATAGCCACGCTGCACCGTGGGCCGTGCCAGCTGGGGTGGAGGCTGGCCCCATCACAGGCGTGCTCCCAGAGCCTGATTCAGTGGTGGGCACAGCCAGATGCTGAAACAAGTACTATGTGCTTTTTATTTTTAAGAGAACTCATGGCTATTTTATAAAAAGTACAATTTCATTTGAAATTTGAAACCTTTTCACACACAGGTAAAATATAAATGAGTACCACTCCTTGGGGACCTACTGATGAAGGCACTGATTTAGAAATGGAGAAACTGAGGCCCAGGAAGGAGCCAGCCCGCCACAGACATGATGCGCCGAGTTGAGAGCAAAGTGGGGGCTGGGTTCACACAGGTTGCATTTGAACCCTGAAATAAGAGACGGGGTTTTCTTTGCTGGCTGGGTGATTTTGGACCAAGCAAGCTGTGTGACCTCTGAACCTCAGGATCATCGTCTGCAAACTGGGAAGGTGCTTCTGAGATTAAGGGATGGCTGTGAGGAGGACCTTCCTGTCTGTGTGGGGCCCCCAGCCCCGTGCCTTCTCGATACACCACGCAGGGGTCTTCATCCTCGGGGTATACCTGATCCCCAAGTCACACATTTCTATGCCCCCACCCCCAATGCAGCCCACACTGAAAGGTACATACATACGCCACAGGGTCATTGCTCCGAGTTCCAACGATGCTGAACTTCTTCACATACGCGTTGTCCTTCAGGGCCTCTGCGTAAGCCTTGAGGGTGGGGATGGGGATATTCTGCAGAAAGAAAAGCCGGAGGTGACCTACAGCCTCCACCTGGGCAGGGAGGTGTGGGGCGGGGAGATGGGGCAGCCGCTCTCCTGGCTCATTCCTAGTAGGTTTCTGACCAAAAGGCTGAGTGACCAGTTTCTGGCTTTGCCTGCCTCCTGGCTGTGCTCCCGATGGATGAAATTTGAGAAGGGTTTTCTGGTAAATTGGTTGAGAAAACTCTCCCCAAGAAGAGCTGCAAATGGTCATTGGAGGAGGAGAGGTTCCGGGGAGGGGATGCGGAGGCCAGGACTGGTCCACTGCCCAGCAAGGCTTCTGACTTGCTGTGTGACTCTGGCAAACGTTTTCCTCCTTTCTGCCCTGTTTCTGGAAAGCACTGTGTGTGTGTGTGTGTGTGTGTGTGTGTGTGTGTGTGTGTGTGTGTGTGTGTGTGTGTGGTGGTGTGCTTACAGGAGATAATCTCTAATAGCCACCTGCCCCAGTGGGTGTCAGCCCCAGCTGCGTGTCAGAGGCTCCTGGGGAACATTCCTCAAAGACTGATGCCCCGGCTGCCCAGGACAATGACATCAGGAACCCTGGGCATGAGACCTGAGTTCCTCAGGTGGAACCCACTCACAGAGCCCAACGGCCTCACTGTGCAGGAGGGGAAACTGAGACAGAAGAGGGCTGGGCACTGGCCTGAGCCCCCTTGGTGAGGGTGCGGGGCCAGGCTCCGGCACCCCGAAGGACAGGCATTATTCACTGCCAGCATGCACCCTGGGCACATGGCAGACAACTGAGGCACCTGAGAGGCCCTGGCTGTGTTCCCCTGTCTCTTATTTCAGGGTGTCACATTAGCTCCCCATGGGAGCAGAGAGGAACACTGAGGAGGCACGTTTCCAATCTGATGGTGCTGTGGGACTGGCAGCCTCTTAAAAGAAAGTGGAGAAGAAGGGAAAGAAGGGGGGCAGCTTCTTGTCTTACCCCCGCCTCCAGAACTAATCCCATAGGCCTTAGAGTGGAACAGGTGTGAGGGCAGCTGTGCCCGCTTCTGAATTCCTCCTGCGGCCTGTCCAGGCAGGGTGGGACAGTCTGTCCATCTGTCCCTCCTCTGTCCTCGGTGGCCACACAGGGCCATGTCCAGAGAAATATCGGCAGATGACTTTGGACGTGGGCTAACAGCTGCCTCCTGGGCTATAAGATGAGGCTGTGTATGAGCATGAGACGGCACAGGGATGGTTCAGGGGAGACCCTGGCCAAGGTGTGGGTGTCCCTGAGTCTGGTGGGCACTGGCATGTTGGAGTCTGCAGATCCCATGGTGCAGCAGCATGTGTGTGTGGGTGTATGCGTGTATGCTCTGAACAACATGGAGTGTTTCCAGGGATAGAATTGGCTTGGCCTGGGGTGAACATCTGGGCCTGTCCACCCCTCTATTGGCAAGGCTTTGTCCATATTGCTAATCCAGAAATGCCCAGGCTCCCCACAGGCTGCAGCTCACCCACCAGCCCCGCCTGAGCTGTGTGCGCCAGGTTAGCATGGCCCACCGACAGGCCTTTCCCATGCAGGGAGAGAAAAGGGATTTACCCGGATGTTGTTGAGGTTGACCTCTTCAAGGTCCGGGTCGTTGTTCTTTATCCGCTCCAGCGTTTCTTCTACGTCGGTTGAATTCGGTTCTTCGTCGGGCACAGGCTTGTATTGTGTGGGTTTGATAACACCTGGGTGGAGTGACCGATACCAGGCGTGGGGCTCAGAGAAATGAAAGGACGGGGGTGGGGGTGTCAGGGACATGCAAAGACGCAGTATCACGGGGGCTGTGCCACGCAAGCAGCGCTGCTCACAAACCCAGGAGGCCTGGGCTCTACCCTTGAGGGCCTAACCCCTCTTCGCCTGGGTGTTCCCATCTGTAGAGGGGGAGCACTCCTCCTCCCTGCGCTCATTAGCTCCTGTAAGAGTAGCAGGAGGTGTGGATGAGAAGGAAGGCACAACTGTTCCGGAAGGGAAGGGTCATTGCTCTCTCGGCACCCTCCCTCCTCACCGGGCCCGGCGGCAGCTCGACTGGATGCAGCAGGAGATAGCACTAGTGGGATCAGCACAGGAAAGGACAGCGGGACTCAGGGAGTGGAAGAGATGCCCAAAACCAAGGCGAGGGGGAAAGTGGCCATTGGGGCAGAGAGCCCAGCCTAGGGGTGGACGGATGGACTCTTCAGAACTGGTGTTGGGACAGTTGGATAGCCAATTAACAACGTGAGAGGAAGTTCCACCTCCTCGCAAACCAGCCCAAAGGTGAACCCCAGGGGGACCATGAGGTGGAGCGTAAGCAGTCAGCCTCTAAGATGGGGCAGAGGAGACTGGAGGAGAATATGCTCACAATATTGGGAGGGGGAAGGACTTTGTAAACAAGACACAGGTAGGTCCTGGGGGCCCAGGCGAAGGAAAGGCGTAGCAGACCTGGCTGACACACACACCTGCAAGGAGCCAGAGTGCCCGTCTGAGAGTAGAGGCAAAAGAGGAGCAGCCTTAGGGCCCACAGGTCCCAGGCATCCTCCTTCTGCAAGTGAGCTGGGGTAGGGGAGGGGGTGGGTGGGCTGAGTACTCACTGTTGAGTCCCTCCTTGTTCACGATGGAACTGCTGCCCAGGGCCTGGTAGTACTGCTGGTTACTCATGAGGGTGTGCATGCCCAGGATGGCTGTGGGGACAGAGAAAGGGCCCGTGGCTACCCCTCACCGACAGAAAACCCCTGCATCCCAGGGATCTGTGTTCCCAGAAATGGCAAGTGATGCATGTGTGGCTCTCGAGTCCCTAGGTAGAAACCTCTCACCTTGCTTCACATGACCTTCAAGTCCCTGTCCCTAGCCTAGACTTCTCTAGTCCTGACCCTCAGAGTCTGAGATCTCCCCAGCCCCACGGTCCCTCTGGGACTTCCAGCCAAACTTGGACCAAACCAGAGCCATCCACTGTCCCGGCGACGGCTTCTCTCTTTGGATTGCCTTCCATCTTGTCACCCTGCCTGTCTCTCGAGGTACCGGCGCAGTCACCTGACACCTTCTCCTCCACACCAGGCCCGTACTTTCCACCCAGCGCAGTCAGCTTCCCTCCGAGACACTTAGAGGAACCATGCCTCCCACCACCACTTTGTCCTGGCAGAGCGCTCTCATTTCCAGGTCACAGCTGCACAGCCCCTGGTCTCCTGGCCCCGTCTCTCCTCCAGCATTTGCCAAAGGAGCCGCCAGAAAGATCTTTCTGGAAATGCAAAGCTGACCAGATCCCTGCCACGCCCAGTCATTCTTGCATGCACTCGGCAGGGGCAGGGAAGGGGGTCGGGGAAACACACCGCAGAGAACCAGAAAGACGGGTCTGTGCCCTCCTCTTTACGACCTGCGGGGGGAGGGAGACTTCAGCCAATAGCCACCCAGCTTACTCTGTAAGCACCGAGGCTGTTAACAAACACCCCTCCGCTCTGGCGGGAATGCAGCCGAGGGAGGGTGGAGCATAGGAAGGTGTGAGATGAAGCTGAAAATGGGGTGCGAACAGCAGTGATCGCCCTCCCACCCCCACCGACTGAACACCTCCAACAGCCCAGGGAAGATGCTGTGCAACAGGGTTCAATTCAGCTGTACCTGGGAATGGCTTGGGAATGTAGACATTCCAGATGTCCGGGCCTACCAATTCCATGGAAATCTCTGTGGCTGGGGCCCAGGCATCTGCATCGTTTTAAAACTCCCAGGTGGTTTCACTGTACCGTTGAAGCTGAGAACTGATTATATTACCGGATTTTATTCCAGTGGGCAAGGCGAGAGCCTGTGGCACTCTCTAGGTTCAGGTAAGGAGGTCAACTGGTTTTCCGCAGGTTCAGCCTGGGAAGTCACTTGAGTGGGGAGTGGGAAGATCTGACCGGGTTCTGAGAATATTTCTCTGGCTGTGTGTGAAGAACTGTCCACAGAGGGGCGAGGTGGGTATGGGGTACCTTTGGGCAGAGGTTCTCAATCTGTGGGTCTCGACCCCTTTGGGTCGTCTAAGACCATCGGAAAACATATATTTCCGATGGTTTTAGGAACCGAGACACCGCCCCCCTATCTGTCTCCAGGTGGGTCTGCCCACATGCAGATACGCCCACATACGAGTACCGGGGCCTGAAGACTGTTACCCATGCGACACCATGCTTCAGGACAAAATTTCATTTATTTGTCATTAGAAATAAATATTTCACAATATATATAATGACATTATTTTTGTGATGAATCACTATGCTCTATGGCCAATGAAAATATATCCTGCATATCAGATATTTACATGACAATTCATAAGAGTAGCAAAATGACAGTGACGAAGTAGCAATGAAAGTAATTTTACGGTTGGGGGTCCCCACAACATGAGGAACTGTATGAAAAGGTCGCAGCATTAGGAAGGTTGAGAACCACTGCCCTTGGGCCTGTTGTAGCCATCCAGAGAGGAGGACAGAGGCCACTGACGACCAAGTCCAAACTCCAGAGCCTGGGTCCTGGGGCCTCTTGGGCCGGCTCTGCTGCTCTGTCTCTGCTCCAGGTGCATCGCCACTGCTCTCGGACACCTCCTGCTTCTGCCAGTCCTGAATGCCCTTCCGCTGATCACGCGCTCTCACTTGGAGTGCCAGGGTTGAAAGGGCCTCCGCTAGGGTTGCCAGAGGGGCATTAGGGGTTGGGTGGTGGATTTCTCGTCTCCCACGTGGGAGATCTGGTTCCATTGCCAGTCAGTGTACCGCATGCTCACCCAGCACCCGCCTCTTGGGGGAGGTTGTCTGGGAGGATGGGACGGAGCTTGCAGACGAAGACAGACGAGGAAGGTCTTGCGACCTGCTTCCAAAAAATCAGCGGAAACCCGTTGGACTTCAGCGGTTCCAGTGAGTTGGGGCTGACTTGGTCAACAGCAGCTAATCACCCCAGCAGGACTGCTTGTTCCCGATGGTGCTAGCAGGTGGGTTCCAGCCCTGGGCACAACAGACTGAAACGCTGGTCCTGTGCCATCCTCCCCGCTGTTGCAGCCACTGTGTCAGCCCATCTCACCAGGCAGGATGTCCTTCCCCAGGGCAGGGTCCCTCTTGGAAGCAGGTCCTAAGTACTTGGGATGAAGTCTTGCTTCAGAGGAGCGTTCTAGGTGAACTTCTTTCGAGACAGGTTTGTTTGTTCACCTGGCAGTCCATGGGCTAGTCGGTATTCTTTGCCAGCTCCGCGATGCGAAATACATCCATCCTTCTTCAATCTTCCTTCTCCAGCGTCCGGCTTTCCTGTGTGTGTGAGGCGACTGGCAAGACCAGGGCTGGGGTCAAGCACAGCTCAGTCCTCACAGTGATGCCTTTGCTCTTCAACCCTTTAAAGAGATCTTTTCAGCACATCTGCGCAATGCAATATACCCTCTGATCTCTTGACTGTGGCTGCCATGAGCACTGATGGTGGATGCAAGTAAAATGAGATCTCTGTTGGCCTGGAGGACTTTCATCAAGGATCTCCCTGGAAAGAGGGAAGTACCACCCACCATCCTGCATGTCTGGCTTTCAGGGCTAAAATGAGAGACGTTTTACAACTTCAATCTTTTCTTCCTCTATCATGACTGATTAGACTGGTGCGAGCAGTCTGGCTGTGAGGGTGTTTGTTTTCTTGCCATTGAGGGCTGGTGCACCTTCAAGGCTAGCGTCTTTGATCTTCAACATCAGTGCTTCAAGTTCTCTGTGCTTGAAGCAAACAAGGCTATACGTGGTCCTTATAACGGTTACAAACATGACTAACACTGATGTCAGCTTTCTGCTGGTGCTGATGCATGGTCTTCCTCTGAGTCCAGCATCTTGGATTATCTGCTCCGCATCCAGCCTGAGTAAGTTTGTTGAAAGGACACAACCCTGATGCAACCCTTCGCCCGAGTTTAAGCCATGCCGTTTCCCCTTGCTCTGCTCTGCTCAAAAAAACCCAATGCTTCTCGGTTGATGCCGTTTCTCATGAACGCAGTTAAATGTTCTAGAATTCCAGTCTCCAGAATGTTATGACCCATACAGTCAAAGGACTGTTGATCGTCAATATAACACAAGTGAAAGTCTTCCTAGTGTTCTCTGCTGTCAGCCAAGACCCACCTGATGTCAGCCATGACAGGCCTTGTTCCACAGCCTCTTCTGTATTCAGCTTGGACTTCTGGCAAGGTCCCTGCCACTGCTTTTGAATTATCTTAAGCCAAATTTCACTTGCATGTGATATTAATGCTATTGTTGGATGATTTCCAAATTCTGCTGGGTCACCTTTCTCTGGAAAGGGCATGCCCTTGGATCTTTTCCAGTCAGTTGGCTAGGAGCTGTCTTCTAAATTTCTTGGCATTGATGAGTGAGGGCTTCCAGCACTACATCAGCTAGCTCAAACATTTCCATTGGCATGCCATCAATTCCTGGAGCCTTGTTTTTCTCTAGTATCTCCAACACAGCTTGGACTTCTTCCTTCGATACCATCTGTAATAGTGAAATGGCCATTCCTTCTTTTGGGTACAGTGACTCTGTGTATTCCTCCTGTCATCTTTAGATGCTTTACGGGATCGCTGGAAACATTGCCCAGAGACTCCTTGAATGTGACCACTTGCGGCTTGCACTTTACCCTTCGGTTCGTGCAGACGGAGAAGTGCTGGGTGGGTCCTGCCCTTTGGTTTTCTAACTCAGGTCTCTGCACCTTTCACTGGGGTGATCCTTCGCTTGGTCTCCTCCAGCCACCCTTGGCATTTTCCGCTCAGCTTTTGTATGTCATCGTTTCTCCCAGTCGCTTTAGCGGCTCATGTTCACGAGAAAGTCTCTGAGCTCCTTCTGGTTTTCCGTGTGGTCTTCTCTTTCTTCCCTGTCTTTCTAACGACCCTGCTTTCTTCATTCGTGAGGTTACTGCCGTCACCCCACAGCGTGCCTTTCTGGAGACTGTCTCTAAACTTTGGTGGGATCTACCCAAGGGCATAACAGGATAGTTAGGGTTAGCAAAGAGAAAGGCAGGGTGCCCAGGTAAATTTCAGATACATAACCTTTTGCCCCTCCCTCTCCCCTCCTCAAGTACAGGGATGTCCCAGTTATTGAGCAGAACATATGTTTATCAAACTTACGGTTTATCTGAAACAAGTGAGATTCAAGTTCACTTGGGTAGCCTGGATTTCACATCAGAGTCCTGGCACCATCCTTCAAGACTTTGAGTAACCCTTCCTCCTCCAGGAAGTCTTTCCGGATTCCTCCCTCTCCCCTTGGATTCTTCCACCACACCTGGTGCTTATTACAGCAGGTTGTCTACAGGGTGGTAGAGACAGCTGGACACACATCTGCTGCCACTGGCCTGTGAGCTTCCAGAGATCAAGGAAGACTGAGATCTGTCTCCTCCAGCTCTCCTATCACACCGTTGACATCTTGTAAAACTTTGGTGATGACTCGCTAACCATCAAGCCACTTCCTTAGGCATGGTTTCCTGCTAGAGAAACACAACGAGAGTCCCTGATGGGGAGTCAGCAGATCCAAATTCAAGGGTTCTATGGGCAACATTTCAAATTCAGGCTAGAATCCTGACACCGGTGTGACCTTGGGTAAAGCCTCTCCCTCTCTGGGTACATCCTCTGTACCAATGTGCCTCATGGATGTAACGAGCGAGTTAGACCAGATTTGCACATACAGGTCATCCGGCGAGCTTTAAACATCCACGCCCAGGCTCC